AAATATGCAACCGTATTAATGCCAGGGACCTGGGGATGCAATAGACAGAAATGAAATTAGAGGGGAAATCATGATATTGCTGAAGTGCTGGAGAGCTGCTCTCACACTAAGACCAGGGGGATTGGGATAAGGTAAAGTTAATTGCATTTCCAGATGACAAACCTCTCACCTCTGAACTGAATGGCTCTTTATAAAAGCTATCAGTAATAAACTGTAAATCTCAGCCATGATTGCAAATAAAGGTCATCCCTTTCACGCTGCCACTTTCCTGGGCCTTATTACATTCCCGCCTGAGTCGTTCTCACATCTTAAGGTGTGCCAGCTGTCCATATAAGCAATCAGCACGGCTTGCTTTATTTTTTTAAGGCATGACATTATGGGATTTACATCCGTGCACATTGTGCAACCGAATTGGGCCAATCCCCTACTCCTGGAAGGAAGGCAGCACCCAGAGGTAGGATTACTCTCCATCTTCTCCCATGAATGTAAAGGAGGTCCTGCATTGCCCTGATTCACAGCCTTGCATTGCCAGGTTTTGTAAGAAGCAACACAGCCTATCCAACATATCAGTGGTGTTGCAGCAGCCCTCCTGCACTTTCCCTTTCTCTCTGTGCATCACAAAGATCCCTGCTCCTCGCCATTTCCTCCTGGAACAAGCAGCCCCCTGCAGAAAGCTGAGTTACATTTAATTTAATGCAATTAAGAAATATTCATTAATTTCTAGGCTGTTGATGACACTGTCCTCAAATCCATTTTTCTCAGTGCATGTCTCTAATTCTATCAACAATAATGATGGCAAATACTTGGTAAGCTCTTACTATGGGCCATTATGGAGCTAAGCATGTAACATTTTGCAGGTGAGGAAACTGAGACTCCAGGATGTTACTGACTCTGGGTTCCCACCAGTGCTGGAGACGGGATTTTTTTTTTTAAGGAAGGGTCCCCGAAACATTCTGGAAGAGGCTGAAAAAGATGAAATGGTACAAAATGGCAAAGCCAATTGCTTGATGCAAAACTGACTTCAGGAGCTCACTCCCAGAAAATAAAGTGGTCACTGGAAGGGACCCATGCTAGGGAAGAGAAATAGGCGCCCCAAACACTCCTATGGAGCAGCTCTGGGGTCAGAGATCCTGTGCTGAACACTACCCTTACTGTTGAAAGGAGTATAAAAAAAGGCATTAGCCTTCAACTCAAAATTAAACAGTTCTAGTTCTGGGTCTATTCTGACATGATTTGTCCATTTGCCCACTCATTTATTTGTTCAATCACCATGGGACAGGCAAGATCATCGTTCCGTGAGATTTCAGTTTCTATTACCTTCCCTTCTCTATAAAATTTGTTGGGTGAAATGGTGCAAACACTTTGCAAAATATTTAGTATTCTTCAAATGTAGGCATACAATCATAGTAATTCCCTAAATGGTAGCAGGGGTGTATATTCTCCTGTTTTAAGCTGAATTCTGTTTTTCAAAAATCAGATGGAAAAATCATAATGTGTGAGAACAATCACTGATCATGTGCCTATTACGTACTCAGAGTCACAATCAGCTTCTGTGCCTCTGTGCTGTTCTAAATGCCAAAAGATTTATAAAGACCTAAAATGTCCTATTCTTGCCTCCCAAGAGTTTACAGATTCATCCAATTAATGAAAATGAAATGGTAAAGTGGCTATGCGGGATTTAATCAACGGTTCAAAATAACTTCAAGAAAACACGTCAATACAAAAATAGTGGCCAACTATTTTTACCTGAGCTCAGGCAAGGTCAAGATCACTTCATAGTGAAGTGGGAAGTTCATGGAAAAGCGATTCTCTAGATCTTGAATAAGTATAAAATCTGGACTAATGAAAGGACATTCTTATATATACATATATATATGTATATATATATATATATGCAACATAGATGAACGGGACCCAGCTGGAGGCCCCAGGAGATGGCTGCACAGAATACTCTGTAGTGACTCGTGTCCTAGATTTTGAAGACAGAGACTGGCATAGGGTTGTAGCATTCCTGAGACTCCTAGCATATGCAAAATTATGTACTGGATTCTGGGGGTCACTTTTTTCTTTGTTGACTGAAAGAAGTTAACTTTTAAGTTACTGATGTGTATAATGCATCTGAAAAGAAGACAGCAATGAAGGAGGGGGAGCAGAAACAGAAGGTATTAATGTTTTATTCTGGGATGTGATTGAGAAGAGAATCCAAAGAATGAGGTTGGTTTTACTGGGTCCTAAAACTCTGAACAATGTTCACTGATTCATTCCTTCATTTACTCAGGATTCATTCTCTCATTATACCTGCCATGTGGAAGATAAAACATTTAAGTCCTGCAAAGACAAATAAGAATCTAGTTCTTGAAGACCTTAAGCCAAATAGTTCCACATGTGAACATCTAAGGCACAGAAGCACAAGTCAACAGTGAAAGCAGAACTGGAGCTGTTCTGATTGCACAGCAGCAAAGATCCCCTCTGATGAAACAACCGCCCAGGACGCCCTAAGAATTTCTTTTCTCTCTCCATGTAACCTAGTCCTCCGGGTCAAGACTGGGAAGGTACTAACCAACCACGAGCTCCTACGAACAAGCAAGGCTCATTCTGGCTGAATTATGTTGATTCATCTTTCCCTGTTAATTTCTTTCAATTATGCATAACTCCGTATTTTAAAAAGTATATATATATATATATATGCAGACTATCTCTCAGGTAAGTGCAACGTAACTGCTAAGTGTTATTACTATTCAAAGGCTGCTTTTTTAGACACCTATTTGCTATTTACAAGGAAGTCCCTGGGTACACATGAAAGGCAGTATCGGTTACTCAATAATAATAATGAAGACGACTTGTGTATAAAAGCAACAGCTCTCCCTTCTTCCATATTAAAAGCTTTAGCAGTGATTATGATGAACAAAACAGAAAGGGATAACTTGCTTGGGAAGATGAGGAAATGAATATAATTTGGGGGCTTTGGAGGAGGCACAGGTATTAAAGGTAGTTATTTAACACTCCCTGTCTTGCCACCTGAGCAAGAGAACTCCATATCTGAATAAATCTACCATCACTAGCTTTTTTCTTTCGTGAGACCCATGTTTCTCAAATTTTGGCATCCATCAGAATTTTACCTGAAGGGTTTCTAAAGGCCCCAACCCCAAAGATTCTGGCTGCGCCGCTCCGGGGTGGGGTGTGAGAATTCGCACTTTAACAAGTTCCCAGGTAACATTGCTGCTGCCGATCTTGTGATCATACTTTAAGACCTACTAGTTAGATCAAGGTTTGGCAAATTATAGCCTTCTGCTTATATTATCAATATAAGTATTATATTAAGTATGATCAAAAATTTCATTATAAATGAAGTTTTATTTCAGACAGGAGCCTGGGCGGGGCCCCCACTGGGCCTGTGCAGGATGCTGGTCAACGCAGAAGGACCTGCTTCGGTCAGGAATCCTGCTTCAGATGTTCAGGTGGCCCAGGGGGAAGGTGACCCCATCCAGCTCCTGGCTTGAGATAACAAATCTGAAACTTAGGAGAAGGCAAAGCTTGAGACTTTATGTTGTTGGGTATGTGAACCCCAGTAGCCCTACAACAGGCACTGACCTGTAATTGGTTTGGGGTCACAGACTCCTTTGAGAATCTGCTCAAAGTTATGGACTTTCTACCCCAGGAACATGTGCAACACATGTAAAATTTTGCATACAAATATTAAGGGGCTCATACCAAATTAAGGAGCTTCCCTGAAGACCACGCATGGGGAGCATTTTAAGGACCCTAGTTTAGGATATGATTAGAGGGAAACATTCTGACCTAGTTCTCTTCTGCTGGCAGGAGAGCTGGCTGTTGACAGCTCACAGCCGCGTTCCCCGCCCAGAGAGCACTGCCCCAGGCCCAGCTCACGCCCCATGACTAGTCACTGTGAGGGTATGAAGGCCCAGCCCCCTGCCCCCATGGAGGACAATTCCCAGGAGCCAAGTCAGCCTTAGAACTCCCCGCAGGGCCAACAGAGCCCTCTGTGGCAGCCACACTGCTCGGCAGCTCCTTCCTCTAACCAATCCTGCTTCCTTCCCAACGTCCTTAGCAGTGTTCTTCCCAAGCACACTTCCCAAAAACCCTGCAAAACTCCACCTGACACTCTGTTTCTGGATAAATTAGTGGAAAACTGGTGCTTCTGAAAGAAAAAAATGGGAGCTGAGGGTGGGTCACAGTCAAAATTCTCTGCTGTTTTACTAACCTGGAGGAAACCCAGTGGGAAAGAAGACTGTGGTCTACAACATCGAGGAAGGTTTTCTATTTTATTTTAGGAGGTTGATTAATTATGCATTCAGATCCATAAACTTTCTGTCAATTGTTAGTTAACTGTAAACCAAGCAATAGTATTTATTGCAAATAATAATAAGAATAGCTAACACTTACTATGTGCCAGCTGTGGTCGTGAGGACTTTACATGTATTATTAACTCACTTAATCCAAAAAGTAGTTACTATTATTACCCCATATTTCAAATGAGGAAACTAAAGTTAGATGATCTGCTAAGAAAGGGAAGCTGGTAAGAAAAAGGCTCTAAGTAGGGCTGTCCAAGGTACTAACGTGCCACCTTACCCTGGGCTCCACCACTTCAGGCAACATCCCTACCAGGCCAGTGCCATTCCTAAGAACAGTAACCCAACAAAGATGAGCTGTGTTAGAAAGGAGGCAGGCAGGAAAAGCAGAAACGGGCGTCCTCTAGATGGGAAGACGAGCATGAACAAAGTCTCACTAAAAATATGGGGAGGGGAGCAAGTCACAGGACGTAGAAGCCTGGCTGGCTTGGAGAGACGGCAGGTGGAAGAGAGGGACAGGCAAGCATCTAGGCTCTGGAATCAGAGCCAGCTATGTGACTTGACAAGTCACTTAACCCTCTAAACTTCAGTTCCCTTATCGGCACATTTTTAACACCCATTTATATTAAATTTCTGCCATATTCACTTGTTGCTTGGGTTCTTGGGGGCCATTTCTCCTCTTGAGCTATCTTCTTTTTTATGGGCCTCTTCATGAATTTGTGGCTTCCTTGCATAAGGGCCATGTTAACCTTCTCTCCATATCATTCCAATTTCAGAACATGTGCTGCCAAACTGAGCACTTGAGCTATTCTTAAATAGCTTCCTACTCTTATTTCATGCATGTGGCATTTTCCCTTATCTGAGTATCTTCTTTTTATATTTTCTTTTACTTTCTGCAGTGTTTCTATCTCCCCTGAGTTCCTTTTTCTCTTTCTTTGTCCCTGTCATCAAGGTAAAGTTTTCTTTCAGTGTCTGGGGAAACAGTGTCTGTTCATTCACACATTAAAATGAAACACTTTGTAAAAAGCTGTTGGCAGTTCTGTGTGGGCCGGTGGTCTCATATTTGGGAGGGGACCTGGTGTTTCTGTGGGATCCCAGCTGACAGTACCTGTAGATCTTTCCTCTTGGAATAATAACTTCCTCAGAAAGGAATTCTCTAGTCTCCAGCCTGGAGATAAGCCTGGTCAATGATGTTCCCCAACCAAACAGCAGACGAGGGCAGAGAGGTCTCACCACTCAGCACACACGCTTCACTGAATCCCTACATACATGGATTCCCCAAGTCAGAGCTTGCGCAGCCTTTCCAGAGCTCCAAGCTGCTGATGAAGTTGGGCAAAGGGGTCTCCACCTGAAGGACAGGGTGGGGCAGTCTAGAGGATTCAAATGTAGGCATACAATCATAGTAATTCCCTAAATGGTAGCAGGGGTGTATATTCTCCTGTTTTAAGCTGAATTCTGTTTTTCAAAAATCAGATGGAAAAATCATAATGTGTGAGAACAATCACTGATCATGTGCCTATTACGTACTCAGAGTCACAATCAGCTTCTGTGCCTCTGCGCTGTTCTAAATGCCAAAAGATTTATAAAGACCTAAAATGTCCTATTCTTGCCTCCCAAGAGTTTACAGATTCATCCAATTAATGAAAATGAAATGGTAAAGTGGCTATGCGGGATTTAATCAACGGTTCAAAATAACTTCAAGAAAACACGTCAATACAAAAATAGTGGCCAACTATTTTTACCTGAGCTCAGGCAAGGTCAAGATCACTTCATAGTGAAGTGGGAAGTTCATGGAAAAGCGATTCTCTAGATCTTGAATAAGTATAAAATCTGGACTAATGAAAGGACATTCTTATATATACATATATATATATATGTATATATACATATATATATATATATATATGCAACATAGATGAACGGGACCCAGCTGGAGGCCCCAGGAGATGGCTGCACAGAATACTCTGTAGTGACTCGTGTCCTAGATTTTGAAGACAGAGACTGGCATAGGGTTGTAGCATTCCTGAGACTCCTAGCATATGCAAAATTATGTACTGGATTCTGGGGGTCACTTTTTTCTTTGTTGACTGAAAGAAGTTAACTTTTAAGTTACTGATGTGTATAATGCATCTGAAAAGAAGACAGCAATGAAGGAGGGGGAGCAGAAACAGAAGGTATTAATGTTTTATTCTGGGATGTGATTGAGAAGAGAATCCAAAGAATGAGATTGGTTTTACTGGGTCCTAAAACTCTGAACAATGTTCACTGATTCATTCCTTCATTTACTCAGGATTCATTCTCTCATTATACCTGCCATGTGGAAGATAAAACATTTAAGTCCTGCAAAGACAAATAAGAATCTAGTTCTTGAAGACCTTAAGCCAAATAGTTCCACATGTGAACATCTAAGGCACAGAAGCACAAGTCAACAGTGAAAGCAGAACTGGAGCTGTTCTGATTGCACAGCAGCAAAGATCCCCTCTGATGAAACAACCGCCCAGGACGCCCTAAGAATTTCTTTTCTCTCTCCATGTAACCTAGTCCTCCAGGTCAAGACTGGGAAGGTACTAACCAACCACGAGCTCCTACGAACAAGCAAGGCTCATTCTGGCTGAATTATGTTGATTCATCTTTCCCTGTTAATTTCTTTCAATTATGCATAACTCCGTATTTTAAAAAGTATATATATATATATATGCAGACTATCTCTCAGGAAAGTGCAACGTAACTGCTAAGTGTTATTACTATTCAAAGGCTGCTTTTTTAGACACCTATTTGCTATTTACAAGGAAGTCCCTGGGTACACATGAAAGGCAGTATCGGTTACTCAATAATAATAATGAAGACGACTTGTGTATAAAAGCAACAGCTCTCCCTTCTTCCATATTAAAAGCTTTAGCAGTGATTATGATGAACAAAACAGAAAGGGATAACTTGCTTGGGAAGATGAGGAAATGAATATAATTTGGGGGCTTTGGAGGAGGCACAGGTATTAAAGGTAGTTATTTAACACTCCCTGTCTTGCCACCTGAGCAAGAGAACTCCATATCTGAATAAATCTACCATCACTAGCTTTTTTCTTTCGTGAGACCCATGTTTCTCAAATTTTGGCATCCATCAGAATTTTACCTGAAGGGTTTCTAAAGGCCCCAACCCCAAAGATTCTGGCTGCGCCGCTCCGGGGTGGGGTGTGAGAATTCGCACTTTAACAAGTTCCCAGGTAACATTGCTGCTGCCGATCTTGTGATCATACTTTAAGACCTACTAGTTAGATCAAGGTTTGGCAAATTATAGCCTTCTGCTTATATTATCAATATAAGTATTATATTAAGTATGATCAAAAATTTCATTATAAATGAAGTTTTATTTCAGACAGGAGCCTGGGCGGGGCCCCCACTGGGCCTGTGCAGGATGCTGGTCAACGCAGAAGGACCTGCTTCGGTCAGGAATCCTGCTTCAGATGTTCAGGTGGCCCAGGGGGAAGGTGACCCCATCCAGCTCCTGGCTTGAGATAACAAATCTGAAACTTAGGAGAAGGCAAAGCTTGAGACTTTATGTTGTTGGGTATGTGAACCCCAGTAGCCCTACAACAGGCACTGACCTGTAATTGGTTTGGGGTCACAGACTCCTTTGAGAATCTGCTCAAAGTTATGGACTTTCTACCCCAGGAACATGTGCAACACATGTAAAATTTTGCATACAAATATTAAGGGGCTCATACCAAATTAAGGAGCTTCCCTGAAGACCACGCATGGGGAGCATTTTAAGGACCCTAGTTTAGGATATGATTAGAGGGAAACATTCTGACCTAGTTCTCTTCTGCTGGCAGGAGAGCTGGCTGTTGACAGCTCACAGCCGCGTTCCCCGCCCAGAGAGCACTGCCCCAGGCCCAGCTCACGCCCCATGACTAGTCACTGTGAGGGTATGAAGGCCCAGCCCCCTGCCCCCATGGAGGACAATTCCCAGGAGCCAAGTCAGCCTTAGAACTCCCCGCAGGGCCAACAGAGCCCTCTGTGGCAGCCACACTGCTCGGCAGCTCCTTCCTCTAACCAATCCTGCTTCCTTCCCAACGTCCTTAGCAGTGTTCTTCCCAAGCACACTTCCCAAAAACCCTGCAAAACTCCACCTGACACTCTGTTTCTGGATAAATTAGTGGAAAACTGGTGCTTCTGAAAGAAAAAAATGGGAGCTGAGGGTGGGTCACAGTCAAAATTCTCTGCTGTTTTACTAACCTGGAGGAAATCCAGTGGGAAAGAAGACTGTGGTCTACAACATCGAGGAAGGTTTTCTATTTTATTTTAGGAGGTTGATTAATTATGCATTCAGATCCATAAACTTTCTGTCAATTGTTAGTTAACTGTAAACCAAGCAATAGTATTTATTGCAAATAATAATAAGAATAGCTAACACTTACTATGTGCCAGCTGTGGTCGTGAGGACTTTACATGTATTATTAACTCACTTAATCCAAAAAGTAGTTACTATTATTACCCCATATTTCAAATGAGGAAACTAAAGTTAGATGATCTGCTAAGAAAGGGAAGCTGGTAAGAAAAAGGCTCTAAGTAGGGCTGTCCAAGGTACTAACGTGCCACCTTACCCTGGGCTCCACCACTTCAGGCAACATCCCTACCAGGCCAGTGCCATTCCTAAGAACAGTAACCCAACAAAGATGAGCTGTGTTAGAAAGGAGGCAGGCAGGAAAAGCAGAAACGGGCGTCCTCTAGATGGGAAGACGAGCATGAACAAAGTCTCACTAAAAATATGGGGAGGGGAGCAAGTCACAGGACGTAGAAGCCTGGCTGGCTTGGAGAGACGGCAGGTGGAAGAGAGGGACAGGCAAGCATCTAGGCTCTGGAATCAGAGCCAGCTATGTGACTTGACAAGTCACTTAACCCTCTAAACTTCAGTTCCCTTATCGGCACATTTTTAACACCCATTTATATTAAATTTCTGCCATATTCACTTGTTGCTTGGGTTCTTGGGGGCCATTTCTCCTCTTGAGCTATCTTCTTTTTTATGGGCCTCTTCATGAATTTGTGGCTTCCTTGCATAAGGGCCATGTTAACCTTCTCTCCATATCATTCCAATTTCAGAACATGTGCTGCCAAACTGAGCACTTGAGCTATTCTTAAATAGCTTCCTACTCTTATTTCATGCATGTGGCATTTTCCCTTATCTGAGTATCTTCTTTTTATATTTTCTTTTACTTTCTGCAGTGTTTCTATCTCCCCTGAGTTCCTTTTTCTCTTTCTTTGTCCCTGTCATCAAGGTAAAGTTTTCTTTCAGTGTCTGGGGAAACAGTGTCTGTTCATTCACACATTAAAATGAAACACTTTGTAAAAAGCTGTTGGCAGTTCTGTGTGGGCCGGTGGTCTCATATTTGGGAGGGGACCTGGTGTTTCTGTGGGATCCCAGCTGACAGTACCTGTAGATCTTTCCTCTTGGAATAATAACTTCCTCAGAAAGGAATTCTCTAGTCTCCAGCCTGGAGATAAGCCTGGTCAATGATGTTCCCCAACCAAACAGCAGACGAGGGCAGAGAGGTCTCACCACTCAGCACACACGCTTCACTGAATCCCTACATACATGGATTCCCCAAGTCAGAGCTTGCGCAGCCTTTCCAGAGCTCCAAGCTGCTGATGAAGTTGGGCAAAGGGGTCTCCACCTGAAGGACAGGGTGGGGCAGTCTAGAGGATGAGCTGTCTTTCATGCAAACTTCCAATCAGTTCTGTTCCCAGCCCCACACCCTCAGGGATAGCCAGTGCCTCCAATAGCAGAATTGCTCCTGTTCTAAGAC